TGTGTGTGTGTGTGTTGTGGGTGTGTGAGGGCATGTGAATATTTGTGCATATGTATGTGCTGTGTGTATGTATGTGTTTGTAAGAGCACCAGTGTATGTGTTGTAGTGGTGTATGCTGTGTGTATATGAATGTACGTTGTATGTGTTATGTATGTGGCTGGCTGGAGGCCAGCCTGCGAGTGTTAAAGTGACATGTGACCCTCCCTACTCTTTGGTCCAGAGAAACCTCGTCTTTCTGCTGGTGGCAGGCATGCATCTGGGCTTTGCTGGAGTCCCACACCAGAGTCTTTCTCGACCCTCAACTCCCTTGCCATCCACTGGTCACACTCCCTGTGTCTCCTGAGCATTACGAGGTAGGCTTGTGGGCACTTCAGGGTCCTGAATACCCTCTGCATGGATACTGCATTCCTCCATAGTTCCCTCATTCACCATGTTGCCAGCCTCTTAACAGCGTGAAGCCTTTCCCAGGGAGGACCAGCACTGTGGGCCATGAGAGAACTCTCTAGAATGTCACCCCATTCCCACAGGCACCATACTGCCACAACTGCATGCTAGGTCACGCAGGGGAAGAAGCCAGGTGCTTCTCCTTCCTCTATCTGCCTCCCTAACACCCCAGCCCAGAGAAGGTACCTGTTTGGAGTTACAGACTCAAAGATTTCAGCATCCTGGGGAGAAGTTGCTCCAGGACACTAGTCAACTCCAGAATGTGGAGCAAACCACTAAGTAGCACTTCCCATGGCTTCTGTATCAGCTTCAGCCTCTAAGTTCCTGCCTTGAGTTTCTACCCTGACTTCCCATAGTGATGAACAGTGATATGGAAGTAGAAGCTGAAATAAACCCTTTCCTCCTCCAGTTGCTTTAGGTAATGGTGTTTATCACAGCAATAGAAAGCCCGCTAAGACACCAGGGAATCACAAATCCTATTTGCCAGTCAAAACTGAAAAATGACTTTCTGTTCCTTCTGGTCTCTCCGTGTGCGCATCCCCCAGAGCCCTAAAACCCTTGCTTTAAAAAGGAAGGAGCCAGAGACTCCAGGATTTACAGGTTATGAAAATACATCTGAAAACACACTTTTAAAATATGGTCCCTGTTGTGTAACTAGGGTGTAGGTGTTGGTGAGTGGTACTGGTCCCTCTGTTCCTGGGTTGTTTGGTTTTCTTGGTCTAAGCTGACAGTTTACGGGGAGCTACCTAGCCACTGGGCAGCTCAACGATGCTCTTGCATGAATAAGCCTAAGAAATATTGGAAGGAAGTGGTGGGGGAGAAAGGAATCCCTAAGACCCTGACATTTATGACTATGCAGAAACATGCAGGCTGTGGTTTATAACTCCAGATGACCAGAGCTAGCTGGTTCCTGCTCTGCGTCTCTGCCCCTGGAAGCCAAGCTGAAGGGGCCACCTCGTGTTTTCAGGGCTACAAAGCCTGCTGGGGAGTCCTAACAGCAGGCCCCAGGGGCAGAGCCTTGGCAGACACAGGTGAGCTGTGAATCTCTGTGGTGAGCCTGGTCCTCAGGGAAGGAGTCGGGGACACAGAGCAAAATTGTTATCAATGAGGTTCACAGGAAAACCCAACTTTTCAGCTTGAGAAATACATTTGAGAGTCAGAAAGAAGATAATTTAGAAAATCCATCTAACACACACTCATCCACACGAACACACAGCAGCCCTCACGTATAGAACACGTGAAAACAGCAAACAGCATCTAAAGCGTTATATCTTCAGCTGTCTAAATGATTTTTGTACCCATCAGCTACTAAGAGTTTTAATTATTGAAATAACATTCATTTTCTTCTTACTAAATGAAGTTCTCTGGTTTTCTAAACACTTCATGGGATGGGAGAGCCTGATGGATTTGCTTTGATGATAATGCTATTTCTATTCTGTTTGGCCCCTAGAATAGCGTTTTGCAACAGCGAGCTGTGCCATGACTCCTTTGAGCAAGGGTTCTCGTTGCTCTAAACTGTTACCAAGGTCTGGTGGCGGTGCTTCCGTTGAAATGCAGTGTCTTCCATAAAGGACTTGGCACTTGTGAAGTTCTAAGCCAGAGGGGGTTAAACTAGACAAAGTTAGTTGTCCCTTTCAACAAAACCAAAGCCCAGGAGGTCTGAAGCTGTAATCCGCAGCCTCCAGTCCGGCCAACATGACTGACTGCAAGCAGCGCAGCTTCACACTGAGTGTGGCCAGCCGGGTTCTTTGATTCTCTGAATTCAGAAAGCTAAAACCCAAGCTATTCTTCATCTGCTAAATATCCCTAGGTTGCCTCTATTTTTGCCACCCCCTTCTTTTTACTTTCCTTCATTTGCCCTTTTTTTGTTTTGTTCTTATTGTCATGGGAGTTAGCTGGGACTGAAAAGGAAAATCACCGTTGTGTTTCATTCTGCAAATTTTTCGCCAGCCTGGTGGGATAGGGACGCCAGCTTATGGCCAGGAACAGCAGGCATTTGCAGCAAGGGCGGTGTGGCTGCAGAGATGAGGGGTTCTGCTCTGGTTCCTGAGAACGGGGCCTCGGAGGTGGCCAGTGCCCTAATCTACCTGTGCTGTCCCCAACCTGCAGATGTACCTGCCAACCTCTGTTTTGAGTCCTCAGTGCCACTCTAATGGCCTACTGTAGACTGCTCTGCAGCCTTCAACAGCGTGAAAGCTGGTAGGTGTGGCTGCTGCTGCCATGTGGCTCCAGCGTGGTCCCTCTCATATGTCCCCCTCTGCTGTGTCCTTCCCATATGAAAAGCCCTTCCACATTCAGGGGCTCCTTAAGTGGCACAAACAACCACCTGAGGTACCTGTCGATGCCACCCTGACTCTCGTGCTCTGACCGCCAGCCAGGTTTACCAGATGCCCCCAGAGCCCCGCACAGCTACAACTCTTGCTGTGTCTGAAGGACGGCACGCCTTGCCTTAGGGTGCCAGCTTGCAGTTCTGTGACACCCTTCGGACCCACTTGGCCCTCATCCCATTCTTCCTCACACCAGGCCCCATCTCGGCATGGTGCAGGCCAACCATCAACAACAGCTCTGTTTGTGCCAGGAGGCCAAATTAATTAGATCACCAATTAGTGGCAAACAGCAAGCTCCCTCCCTTAGCCTGGGTCTTGTCTTCTGCTCCTGTGACCATGTGTGATTGAAAAATCACAGGCCACGGGATGCAGTGGGCATGACAGGTGACAGAACCTTTCCTTGGGTCCACACTGCACTCCTCATGTCCCCACTTGTCATGTCTTTCCTGTGCCTTGTGGGTGCCCTTTGAAACACGGTATCAACCTGCCAGGCCTCTGTGCTTTCTGTTCTTCTTGATGGGCACGTTCTGACCTACGGGCAATCACACTTTCGTTTCGTTGAAACTCTTTGAGGGTTGTAGTTTACTTCAAGGTGAATCAGTCACTTGGCTACAAGGACTGCTATTGGATGCTCCCTGAAGAACACTGATGCTGCTATCTTTACTCAGGCCTGCCTGAGATGATAAAGATAGGGAGGACCTGGTGCAGGCCTGGCCTTCCAGGACAGGTAAATGGCACAATACATAGGCAAGTCGGGATGAAATAGAAGCTCACTGGATAGACTGTTTCAGAGGTGCCCCTGTGCGGTTAAGTTTCCTGCTCACCTCAGGGTCAGTATTCAAAGATAAGCCTTCCCAGGCACTGCCAGGCTAAGCAGCTTCACTGGCAAGTCCCATGTAAGCCACTCACTGCTTTGTCTGAACATACTTGGGGCACAGCTGTTCCCACTGAAGTTATGTGTAGGAATTTTAGGGCAGGAGGCATTCACAGCCTCCTTGTGTGCCCTGATGAATGCCAGGATGCAGAGCCATGGGAAGCCCCATCACCACCACAAAAGCCAGGCTCTAACTGCTGGCTAATTGGAGTTTATTTACAGCAAACTACAGCCTCCCTTCTTCCCAAATTGCCAGAGTCAGGTAGAGCTGATTGCATGCAGACAGAAGCAGTAAAGAGTGTGATGTGGTAGGTTCTTGGTGCTTTTGCACGGTATCAAGAAAACATTCTCCTAAACGTTTTCTGCAAAGGCAACAGCTCGAGAGGAATGCAGAGGCCCCAGCTAAGAACTGTGCCCAGACGGTTCCCTGGGGGCTGAGCACCCCAGAAGCTGATCTTGGTGTTTGGATTCTATAGGGAGAGAAACAAAGTTATTGCAACTTTATAAGCTTTCAGATGGAAGCACAGAATAATGGCTCACTGTAAAATGAAAACAACACTAATGATGGTGTTCATTAGCAAAACGTTATTTGCTGGACCCGCATTAGCAGCTATGGAATTGCAGGTGATAATAGGAACGTGAAATTAATTTCATTGAAGGAATTGAAGAATGATTTATTTACAGCGAACACCCATTCTGTGCGAAACTCCCCTGGCTCTATTAAACATAGCCAGAATGCACAGTTCAGAGCTAACAGTCAGTCAGAGATCTGGTTACTTGGAGTAGGGGTGTGTGTGTGTGTGTGTGTGTATGTGTGTGTGTGTGTGTGTGTGTGTGTGTGTGTGTGTGTGTGTGTATAAAAGCATACTTGGAGAACTCCATACATGTATAATGTATATGAGGAAGTAGGATCATATCTACCCCCACCAAAGAATAATTTTTTTAAAAAAACCAACAAAACAAAACTCTCAAGCCCATGAAAAATAAAACATGGGAGAGGGGAAAGATACATGTTGGGGTCTGCAAAGTGCTCATCAGGTGAAGGGATCTGTCATGGAGTTTACTCCCTGAGGCTCACATGATGGAGGGAAAGCTGACTCCCACAGGTTGTCCTCTGACCTCCACACATGGACAGTGGCACATATACCTGTATACACGTGCAGGTGGGAAGATACACACACACACACATACGCACGCACGCACGCACGCACGCACACATACACATGCAATTAAATATAGGAACATAAAAATATAAAATAAAACACATAAAAATAAATTTTGTGACAAAAAAATAAAGCATACCTCCTATGCACATTTGATTGGCTGCACAATGGAAACATTTAAAATTTGAGAAATAATAGTTTTGGTGCCATGCCCATGCTCTGCTCACCCTGATGGTATTACACACACACACACACACACACACACACACACACACACACACACACGTATAATTTGTAACGCAGGATGTAAGCAAGACTATATGTAAACTGTGGTGGGCTTCTGTGTTTCTATACACGTCTGTAACCACAGCCGTGACCAAAGTAGCTTGCCAACTCTTTGAGAAAGTTCCCTGCTGTTCTAATTAATTCTGCACCTCAAAGAAGTATCATTCCGACTCTGGTGCACTGGGCTGACTCTGTCTCGATTTGAGTTTTATCTAGCAGAACCACCCTGTGTAGAGCTGTGTGTCTGGCTCCCTTTCCCCAGCACAGCATTTTTACAGTCCATCCATGTGTTGCTGCGGAGCGGTCTTTCTGGATTTGGCTCACTTCAGTCTGGACGCCATTTGCACTGATTCTGGATGTGGTTAGCTTTTTTTGACGTCTTAGTCATCTGAAGAAAGCAATCTCAATGACACGGCCTCTTTCTGATAAAGCCTAGCCAATTCTGTGTGGCAGGTGGTGTCAAGTCTTAGGACCGGAAAGGAGCAGAGGACAGAGTCCTAAGACACAGCCACAGCTGGGAGGCTTGGGTTCAGCCTGGTGGTGGCTCCACCTTTGGGCTCTAGGGAAGACAAAGGATGAAACGCCTTGGGGACTCCACAGGCAATCCGCAAGCACAGCCTCGGGGAACATGTTATGCAGGACCCTCTCGTTTTTAAACTCGGGCTGTGTCATGCACCCTATTTACCATTCATTTTCATTTGTAAGGTCAGCCCCCTGCTCTAGAAGCAAAGCCTTTTTTGTGAGTCTTCTGTAAGCACCCTGGGCTCTCAGGGACTCTCAGACCCGGGGCTCTGGACGCACCACACATCTGCCACAGAAAGAGTCCTTCTGATTATCTTAGGACGGATCTCTTGGGGCCACTCACAATGCCAGCTTCTTGCCTGTGTTTGTTTATTAATTAGTTGGTGGATTGGAAAATTGTTCCCCCTTTTTAGTTATTATTTATTTAGTTATCTAAATAAACAGTATTCTTAAATTTTTCCCTCAGGTAGACCCACTAACCCCACCTTGAATTTTTGCTAAATCGGTACAGTGACCAAATTTCTGAAAAGACCTGCACAGACAAGGCCCTGCTAGGAGCTTCCAAAGACTAGAAACCTAAGTCCAATCTTATTTCTGGGGAGAATGCTAGAAAGAAGAGAAGTCTCTCTGTGCCACAGTGAACACGTTCAAAGGGCTTTAAAGAAATGCCCATCAAGGACCAGCTGCAATGCCAAGCTGCTTTAAAAGTAGAAAATGCAGTTTCAAATCTATGAAGCCAGTTGAAAATCTTAAGAGGAAAATATGCCTGAGTCCCCTGAATGTTTCTCCCATCACGGGAGATGCTGGGATGCCACCCCCATCGTAAGAACAAGACAGTGTCCTAGTCCATGTACATCAGTCTCTGGTGGCTCAGGTAGTATTAGCATTGGGAAAGCTGAGTCAGGAAGATCATGAGTTCAAGGCCAGCCTGGCCTACTTAGATATTGTCTCAATAAATAAATATTAATAAAAAAGAACCCAACAAACAAGAACTATATAATCAAAAAAGGCCCAATGAAGCAATCTTCAAATTATAAGGCATATATGAGATATAGGAGACAGAAATCTATAATATAGTATAGGTTGAATATCCATGTAACACACTGTGAGTTAAATGGCTTCAGACATTTTCTAGAAAGTCTTTTATCCCAGTTAGAATGGAAATGATAGAATTTCTGTGTTTTATAAAGACAAATTAATGTGACTTCTCAGCAGTGATAATAAAATCAAGATGAGGGAGAGGCCACCTTCCTAAAAAGGGCTTGTTTCTGCTTGCTGCAAAAATGAAGAGCCCCTCTGTCCATGAGATTTTAGAAGGATTTTATTCTGAAAGGTCTCCTTTGATAAAGCACTAGACAAGGGTGTCCGGCAGCTACCTACCAGTGGTGGTAGGGCAGTCAACTTGGTGTGGGATCCCGGCAGACATGTTTGGATGAGTAGTGTAGGTAGACAACATTGAAGACACCCAAAAGGGAAGGCCATGAGATGATGGAGATACAGACTGGGATTTGTTGCCTAGGAGCCCAGGAACACATGGATTGCCAGAATCCACCAGAATCTAGGAGCACAGCACAGAGCACATGAATTTCTTCTCAGTGCCTCCAGGAAGAACTCGCATTGTGAATGCCTGGACTTTGGACCTCCGCCTTCCAGAACACAGAGATTATAAATCTTTTTTTAAGTCACTAAGATATCAGTGACATGTTATGCACTCATGAGAAATGACCACACCAATGATCCCTGATCACTGGGAATGCTTCAGTATCAGAGTCCAGACTGGGAGACCAGCTCCACAGAGAGCCCATCTCTGTCATGGTATCCTCGTCTCTGAGCATCTTTCTGCCACCTGACTGCTGACATCATAAATAGCAGGAAGGAAAAGGCAGGAGCAGCCAGAGCTCAAAGGTCATCACCCTGGTGTGGACAGATCCAAGCTGAGCCTTTTGTTCCAAGTTTTAGCAGCAGTGAAAGAACTCTGGGTCACAAATGTGACTCACCAAAGGAGACAGAAGGGCATATCAGGAACTGAACATGCATTGTGCCAGGCAGTTTTCATGTTGGGACATTTTATCCTCATGACTAACATCCATGTTAGGGATTAGTGGACTGAGATTGGGCAGATAAAATCATTGGCTGAGATGCCCAGCAGGAAAGTGGCTACGCAGATACCACATCCTGGAGAATCAGGAAATGGAAGGCTATGGTCACCATGAAGACTCCTGCTGTGCTGGCTTCTTCCGGGTCCATGCTCACTCCATCTGTTGTGGTTTGGAGTTCTCCTTCAACATTCCTGTAAAGGATGATAGCCAAGCCAGCAAAACACACACACACACACACACACACACACACACACACACACAAATCACAAGCTTTTGTGACTGGATATGTTGGTCTGTTTCCACACTGTGACAAAACTCCTAAGACAGTCAAATGAAAAGAGGAAAGTTTTGGGCTCAGGGTTTCAGAGAGTTCAACCCATGATGTCTGGCTCCATTGCCTTAGGCCCATCATGAGAAAGAAATATCATGTTCCATAGTAAAAGAAAGCTGCTCACCTCCAAGAAGTAAGCAAGCAGAGAGGGACCAAAACCAAGGTATGTCTTCCAGAGACATACCACCAATGACCTGCTTCCTCCAGTCAGGCCCTACCTCCTAGTTTTCACCTCCTCCTGCTAATGCCATCAAAGTATGAATCCACAAATGGATTAAACTGTTCATAACATGCCACTCTCATGACCCAATAACCTCTCAATAGCACTACCAGCTGGGAACTAAACTAACTACATACGAACCTTCTGGAATACACTTCCTATCCAAGCCCTAAGTAGAGTGACTGGAGCACTCTCAGACAGACACTTAGAATAATGTTTGAAAATGGGTCATCTCTGATCCCTGGGACTGTAGAGATGATGGCTCAACAGATAAGCAAACTTGGGCCACACACATGAGGACTGGAGTTCAGAGCTCAGGACCCATGTAACAAACCAGGCATCCCCACAAATGCCTGCAACCCCAGATTTGATGGGAGGTGGTGTAGCTAGAGTTTTCCTGCCTGACCCACAGTCAGGACAAATCTCTCTCACCCTCCAGTCCCACAGCTGCTCAGCCCCAAACAAGTAAACACAGAGACTTATATTGCTTACAAACTGTATGGCCCTGGCAGGCTTCTTGCTAACTGTTCTTATAGCTTAAATTAACCCATTTCTATAAATCTATACCTTGCCACGTGGCTCGTAGTTTACCAGCATCTTCACATGCTGCTTGTCATGGCGGCAGCTGGCAGTGTCTCTTTCTGCCTTCCTGTTCTTTTCTTTTCTCCTCTCTGTTAGTCCCACCTATACTTCCTGCCTAGCCACTGGCCAATCAGTGTTTTATTTATTGACCAATCAGAGCAATTTACATACAGAACATCCCACAGCAAGGTGGGGGTAAGAGGATTGTTGGGGCTTTCTGGATTCCGGCCTTTCCAGTACAGGAGCCACAAGTTCAGAGAGAGACCTTGCCTCAAAGGAATACATAGAGAGTGATTAAAAAAAAAAGGAGACCCCTGACACGCTCCTCTGATCTTGGAGAAGTGTGTCAAACATGCATTTATCACACACACACATACACACACACACACACACACACACACACACACACACACACAGGTATCAATCTGTGCATACACACATGGGTACACTCACACAAACATAGACAAATTAATTCATTAACTTGAATAACTTTTAAAGTTATATGGGCAGTAACGGTTATTTAGAAGAAACGTTGTCTTCAGTTGTGCAGCCTCTAGTCAGTTGCCTCCCCTCTTGTCAATAACCTCTCACCCACTGTGCAACCCTAATAAAATTCACTGCGCTCCCCCTACCCTCACCCCAAACAAGATGAAAACAGACGGGGAACTAACTGGTAAGAGAAAGGGAGAGGATAATGGGTGACCAATTCTGTCGAAGTGCATTACATTCATGCATGCAAATATAATAATAAAATGAATTCTTACTTGTAATTAGTAAAGGCTAATAAAACAATTTTAAAATTCTAAACTAATATTTTAAGATTTAACTGACCTCAAGGGTCAGATGAATGTTTTCTATATGACCCTTCTAGCCTCAGACATACATCAGAGATCACAAGAGCAGCCTGGGGGTTCACTCTGACAGTAGGCAAGACTGGGTGGGACAGTAGCTTCCTTTTCCACACACTGATCTAGCTCACCAAACTTCAGCCTTTATCGGCTTTGGCTTTCCTTCACCCCATTTTAAGACAGGTTAAAGAAGCTACAGAGACAAAGAGTGGAGGTTGGCCATTGACCTTCATTGCAGAGTCCCCCAGAGAGACTTTATTAGGGACTTGGCCTGGTCCCAGCATGGAATACTAACAAATCCAGCTTCAGAGGGCAAGCAGAATCCAAGACACAGCTCTGTGCCCAACAGCAGGAATTGTAACTCAGGTTAGGGAAATAAAGAATTTTAAAGAAAGAGAAACAGAACTGGGTGAACAGAATGTTCCAGGCTAAGCCTTCTAAATTCCTGAATTAAAACTCTCCAGGAGGTGGAGGCTGGGCAGGGAGCTGGGCTTAGGGGGCGGCCAGGGGAGCGCAGACTATTGCAAGCTCTCTGAGAAAGCAGACAAGGTTTTAGGGAAGCCATGGAAACAAGTAAAGATGACCCAAAAGGTCAAAAGACAGCTCCCTGGGATGCCCATTCCATGACTTAAGCAGGTACAGAGAGAAGCTGCATCGACAGAATTACCTTACATCTTCTGGAACTTTCCACTAGTCACTTGTTATTCCCCAGAGTTTCCTTGCTGGACTCATTAAGGGAGGCATCTAAGATGAAAGGTGTCATTGATTGAGTTTCTGAATAAACGAATGCATTAATATTTTACTAATAACGATTAAAATCATCTAGGACAACCTCATTATACTGGGTTCAGCCCTATACCAAGCAACAAAATGATGAGGAGTTATTGAGTTCCAATTGCACATGGAAGCATAAAGTCTCTGATGTGGCAATAATTCCAGACAGGGAGCCTGAGTCCTCAGTGTTGAGTTCCTTAGAAGCTAAGCAATCATCAAGCCCTAGCCAAGGCAGGCAGGTCAGATGGAGGAGGCTGGATTATTTCTATCAGATGAGCAAGGACATCTCTCCTGTCCTCTGCAGAGCAGACTTCCCAAGAGCTAGAGATGTCCTGGGCAGGGTGAGCTGCCTCAGTTTCCCCCAGGTCCTGAAACTCCAATGCAATCTGCTCTGTTTGCGTCTACTGCAGCTACAGGAAAAGCCGCAGTGAAACCAGAGCCCTGTCAGCTTTCAAGGCATCACAGCCATGTCCCTCTCTTTCAAGGCCTGCCCTGTCTTCCTGTTCTGTCTGGCCCAGGTCACTGGTGAAGTCTCTCTTTAGATCTAGAGAGACCAGCAGCACACCAGGCCTGGAAGCCTGCCTTTGAAATGCCTCCAGCCAGGCCAGGGGAGGAAGTGTCAGATTCTTCACCAGAAACCTATTTGCATGTGCTGTAAAACTCAAGTCAAGAGCCAGACTTGCAGGGCTTTAAATATGAGCCCTGCTGCACAGGAGTCAATAGTGGCTCCCATGCTCGAGGAGAGCCCAATCCTAAAGTCGCCCTCCTCCTAAATAGCCCTGTTCACCTACCCTTTCGTAAAGTAACAGGTACTGGATTTATTCTCAGTATCAAAAGTGAAACAAGATTTTAGAGACACAAGCTCCCTCCGTGCTGTGCTGGAAGGCTGACTTCAGCTCTTAAAATGCTGTGTCCCTTGCTTCAAAAAATAGAATTCTTGTACCACCTCCTCTGTCGCCGAGTTACACAACACACTTCGAATACTGCTGGGTCTTGGTGGAAAAGCAGGCCACCACAGCTACAAAATTCTGAGCTTACCTGGGGCCTTGCTCGGGCATCTGGGAGTGGAGACAGGCCCATGTCCTGCGCTCTAAGAGGCTGCCTCTCCCTGGGACCCGTGGTTGCTGTCACTTTCTCTTTGCTCTCGTGGTCTCTAACTTTGCTTAATGACCTTGTTCTCTGGGACTTAGTGTTTCTCCAGCAGAGAATCAGGCCCAGCTCTTCACGGTTGGAGTTGGGGGATTTGATCTCTGGCTGAGACCCCAGAGTGCAAGGACCGAATCACGTGGGCTGTGATGGGACCAAACGTTCAGTCCATTTTTTTTCTAAATGGATGTTCAATATTTTAAGTGGCACACCAGTTACTCTTGGGTATTCTTATCCAGCTCACTCCATCAGCTTCAATAAACGCCAAATTAAAAAGAAAAAAAAAAGCAAGCAAGCATGTTCTTTCGTGTGTGTGTGTGTGTGTGTGTGTGTGTGTGTGTGTGTGTGTGTGTGTGTGTGTATGCGCGCGAGCACGTGTATGGGCATATGCCCATGTGCACTGTGCATTATAGAATTGAAACTCGGGGGTGAAGAACAAAAGAAACTAACAAAGCAAGGAGACAGAAGGCACTGGAGCTAATTCAGGCACCCTCCTGGTCTTCATGATAACCAGATGCCCAGGGAAGGAGACGTCTTATCTTCTTTGAAAACGTTTGATTCTCCTGAGTTTTACCTTCATGTTTTCTGTATCTTTGTCATAGGCAGACCCTCAAAGGTAGGTGTCCTAACCTCTGAATCTACTGACTTACTTGCTAAGGTGACTAAGTTGAGGACACTGGGGTGGAAGACAATTCTGAGTGGTCTAGGGACCCAATGTCATCACAAGGGTCCTTATAAGTACAGGGGGCCAAGCGAAAGAAACACAGGAAAGACTGAGGCAGGTCATGGAGCAGAGGGGTGCAGGCACCTTCCAGGAGCTGGCCAAGGCAAGGGGAGGATTCTCTCCAGAGCCTGGAGAAGAAGCAGAGCCCTCCTGACACTTGACAGGAAGAGAAGTTCTAGACTTTCCCTCAGAACCGGAAGTTGACAATGTGCAAGTTCCTCAGCTACTGTACTTGTGAGGTCAGCAAACAGTTGCCTGTGCCCCCTGCTCTGAGTCACAGCCTTGAGGCAACCAGGGCTGAGCCAGGCATCAGGTGTGAGAGACCAGCTCTGAGGTGTGGTAACCAGGAAAGGACACAGTCTGGGCTGGGGGTAGGATTCTAAGTTCCTGAAACCAGGAGTTAGCTTGGTCATCCTTGTGTTCACCATATCAGAAGTGTCCTTATAAGGACTACGTGTGATGATATTTGGTCCCCAATCGACCCAGAATTATCTCCACACCAATATCCTCAGCTTCGTCACCTTAATAATTAAGACTCTAGATTAAAAGGTTAGGACATCCACCTTTAAGGGTCTACAATCCTTGGAAAAATAGAGAAAGGTCTCACAATGCACACAGGACATCAGTCAAGAGGGCAATACCTTATAAGAGACCAGGGTGCATCTGCAAGTCCTGTGTCCCACACACCGGACATGTTAGTGTGGGGTCCCATAGTCCCACAGCTGATCCCAGGGTCATGCACCCTGGACATGGCTCAGGCACTGGCTCAGCATTTGTAGAAGGTCACCATCTTGTTCTAGCTGAGGGCAGCCATCTTGACTGGACATGACCTTCCCTGGAACCGTCCCTGCCTTCCAACTGACTCACAGAGGGTGATCCTACTGCTGCTTCTGTACATGTCCGTCCATCCCCCACTCAGTCACAAGACTCACAAATGGCAGCACCAGAGACAAAGCTCTCAGCCCCCAAGAGATTCCAACTGTCCAGGCCTGGGCTGGGTTCCAGGATCAACCCAGGGGCTTCTTTGACCAGGACCAAATATGTTCTCCAGATCTGTCTGAGCATAACTTCAGAGAAAGGACAGCCCTGTTGAGAGGGCAGAATAAAGGCGAAGCAGTGGCCTCCTGACATCCAGGTCTCTTGGCAGAATGAAGAGTTGTGGGAAGAACGAGAGAACGAACTTCCTCAGAGCATCCAGGGCACAGTCAGGAGCCAAGGCTCAGAGACTTCGCGTGAGAAAGCCTCCTGTGAACAGGCTTCACACATGCCCCTATGTGGCTTTCCCTCACGCCTGGCTCCACCTCACTTATACTTCCTCTTATCATGGTTTTTCTGATAAAGGCAAGTCTAACAGTGCCATCTAGCTCTTTGGCCCAAAGATCAGCCGTTAGTCTAGATTTGTTGGGTCAGCTAGGGACCTATTGGAGAAGCCAGGTAGGATGGATTCCTGGCTTATGCAAGCTCAGATCTATAAGCCAGCCCTAGACCATTGAGAAAAGATGGGGAAGAGAGGAGTGCAGAAGGAACAGGCAGGCAGCTCCGGGAGGGGGGGGGGGCAGTGGTGTCCATACAAAGGAATTACAGTGATTTTTGTCTCGATCCTGTCCTGGTCTTATCCACAGCATAGTCATAACTACAGGAGATCCCATTCCTCACACCAGCAGTGGGACAGCAGAGGACCTCTACACCACACACACACACACACACACAGACAGACAGACAGACAGACAGACAGACACAGAGAGACAGAGACAGAGACAGAGAAATAGAAGAATGACCCACAGGCTCCCACATTCTGGACACAACAATGTCAGGGCAGGAAAATGGTACCTTCTTGCCCAAATGGTCAATCCTTGGTGGCAAGGGCACCCACTTGGAGCCTGAAAAAAGCCATTTATAGAACAGAGCTATGACCCCACTGAGGTCAGCCTTTGACTGAGCATCCCACAGCATCCAGTAAAAGCTCCATGGACACCACTGTCAAGTCTCCTTTGTCCCCATTTGGGCCTCAGATGGATTGCTTTTAAAGCGAGGGTCCAGATCCCAATCATGGTAGAATGAGAAGGATGGATTATGAGCAAGGGCCTCTGTCTCTATGGCAACAACCAAATATTTGGATCTAAAACTAACCATGCTCCTACCTCTGTGAGAATCTGCTTAAAATCTCAGAGGTGTGGGGTCTTCTAACCCCTGTTCACACCTCCCGGACCCATCTGGACATATGAAACAGTCTGGGAAGACTTCCTGCTCTTCCCCACATGTGGACACTACAGCGTGTGTGTTTTTGCATGAGTGTGTGCTTGAGCAATGGAGCTTGAGTGGGTGCACACATGTAGGTGCACCACCCACTCTGTCCCCCTTGCTGTGCTCAGGCTCCCCTGGAGACTTCAGCTATGTCCTCACAGATCAAACATCTGCTCAGGGCCCTGTCCCTGGAAAGACAGACTGGCGATGTCAAAGGTCACTGTGCATCTATGAAGCATGGCCACTGGTGAGTTTCAAGTAATGGAAAAGAGGAAGCACTGGTAGAGATTTGACCTCCCTGCCTAGAAACTAGTCCCTGTAGGGACTCAGGTGAACCTCATCTTCTGTAAGTACCTGCCCATCTTGGGCCACTCATGTAGCACTCAGATATGACACAGAACAATCTTTGTCATTTTTGAGGAACTTAGACCAAGGATAGGGGATGGATGCAGAAAGAGTTCTGTCAACAACAATGGGGGCAGTGGCCTTCTGAGTACCCATGTAGACAGAGTATTGTAGGCCCTATGTGTCAGTCAGTTCTCCATCACTGTGACGTAATACCCCAGACAATCAGCTTTCAAAGAAGAAATGTTTATTTCAGCTCTTGATTTTTGAGGTTTCAGTCCATGGTTTGAACCTTCTGTGACTCAGTTTCTTTCTTCATAGAGCAGAGCTTCAAAGACCTCGATAGATGGGGTGATGTGTGGGGAACTGAGCAGTGTCTTACTGGCTAGACAGCTCTCAAAAGAGGTTTTCACTCCAGCCCTCAGGCCTGGAGTCTTCCTCAAGGCATTTCAAAGAGGAATGGAACACCATCCTGTGCGCTATGCTAAGCCCATCCATGCAGACTTGGCACCTGAAACGGCTCCATCAAAATTGAGGTCAGAAACTGAAGCCTTGGAAACACAGGGGGGTTGGGAGAGATAGCAATGAAATCCAAAGAGCCTTCTCCTCCTGCAACAAAGGCCAGCAGTGCCAAGGGTGATTAGTGGTATAGATGATGCTGGGATGAGAAAGGGTAGAGAGGATGGGAAGGAATCCTGGAGGCTTCTGCCACATTCTTAGACAGATGAGGGGAGCCTGTACAGCATGCTCCGTGTGGTCCCAGTGTCTACAGGGGGTACATGGAGGAACCACGCAGCCAGATCTGGGTCCAGAGCTGGCCAAACCCAAGATTCACACTTAGAAGATGCCTATTCCTAATCCAGGAAGAGTTTCCACCTGTAAGTGCCCCTCTCTCCCAGACTCTAACCTACACCTTTAAATACACACCAAGAAAGACTCCAAGGTATGAATTGCAGCCCGGTGCATGTTCTCTCAGCCCATTGCCTAATGAGGAAAGAAGCCACCATACTGTGGTCCCTGTCCTGAGAACCTGGACAGCCTCCAAAGAGATATGACAGCTCAGGAATCCAGAATGAGGCATCTGAGTCTGACCAACATGAAGAAAGAATCCAAAGAGATCTGACAAACCCACAGCCCCAAAGACATTGTCTTAAACAACAGCTGAACAGCTCACTTTTTGTGCCAGTCACCTTGAAGCCCAAGAGAGCAGAAACCTCACCAGCCAGGTCCAGAAGGGAAGAGAAAGGAACACATAAACCAAGTAATTACCAGCAAAGAAAATGAACAGGCACTCTGCTAAATTTGCACTTGGCGGGAAGAATCAAAAGGGCCGCCTAGGGTAAAAATCCACAGTTAAAGTATGAGCGTAATTGATAAAAAAGAAGAAAAAAAAATCTCATGCAAACTTATCAGATAGATGGCAGTACCAGAGCTTACATTTTCCAGAAAGTTTTTTGTTTGTTTGTTTCCTGAAGAAGAAAACTTGCCACTAAACCAAGGGGTAGGGATTGAAAATGTGTCCTTCTCTATTTGTCCTCCTTTATAGCAGAAATGTCGCACTAGAAAGTCAGAGTCAGGAGAGTGCCATGCCCCTTCCCCCACCCAGTGTCTTCTTATCCTGGGTACATGTCAGGAACTCCTTTTACCAGTAGAGAATGTCTCAATGAACTAACTGTGAGCAGGCATCTTGATTCAGGTCTTATCACTCCCCACCCCCAAAGCTTGACATAAATTATCGAAGTACCCTTTGAACATTGGCCCATTAGATATATCAAACAGAATTTGGAATGCCCAGAAAAAGTGGGAAATTACCTAAGACCAAGCAAGGCTGGTGGAACTCGGTCTACATCTCTGCTCCGCTAGATGCTGTGCACTTAATCATGAAATTGCGTACTTAGATGGAGCTCGCCTCACACAGATGAGCGGAGGGACTGTTTTGTGAACATGAGATACAGATGCATCCAAAAACCTCCTGCCGGGTCCTCCAGGTATCCAGTACACGTCTCTAAACAGCAGCAATTGAATATTTTTGCTGGATCTTCCACTCTGTTCCAACCAATGGTGGGAACCCCCTGCTGTCTGCACAGTGCAAAAGGAAGCTGTCCCAGGTGAGCTGGCCCCACACTGCTCACAGCACATAGGCACAGAATTGATGTTGCCCTGTGGCTTATCCCGGAAGCTGATCTCTCAGGCAGAGACCAAGTTCTCATTGGCAGATTAATTCTCTCTTGCTCTGGGATAGCAGTTGGATGAGAACAGCCAAAGGAAATTGGCTTCTGTCCCACCAATTTCCTGTGAGGCTGACAGGCTCTGTTGCCTGGACAGTTCTCCAAGCTGGCGCCTCTTTGGGGAGGTGTTTGTGACCTCATAGACCATAGAGAGCTGTGGATGAAGTGAGAAGCTCAGAATCAGGACACAGTGGTCTTGGCAATATTCTCTGAAAAGGGAACAAGCTCGAGCATTTCCAAGGAGTATGCGTAGGAGCTATAGGTTTCTGTGCACATGACTGATCCTCAAGCCTACGGGACGTTAGAAATGGTTTCTGTTATCTGTGGGCCATACACTTGAATTACTGCAGGCCACACAGCATAGAGACATGGACTGGGAGAAGATAAGGATCCCTTCACCCCGTGGGGGAAAACTCCTCCACTTCCACACAGATCTGCAGGAGAACATCTACGTCACCTTGAGCCAGCTCCAAATGTAATGGATATGGAAGGAGCATACAGGAGTCTGGATGTGACATCACCAGTGCCCAGCATATCAAATGCCCACCCAGCTTTCTGCTGACAGTGGATGAGTGAGTAAAGGTTCTGATTTTGATTATCACAGTTGACAGATTACCCTTGCCCTTCTAGCCCGTCTCATGTTTAATCAACATGGATAACCAAATTACTTTTAATTTATTAATAGAATTAAATTATTAGCCGGCAAGATATCATCATCACACCACTATGGGAAATCTTTGACTGTCTCAAGCAATATGGTATGCAATTTAAAAGATGAATGGATTGTAAAACCTATATCTAGAAAGACATGTGCATCAACTACTTTCCAATGCACATGCTTCGCCCATTTTCACGAGGTGTACTTTGTCCCTTTCTTACTGACTTGCAGGACTCTTAGCATATTCTGGATGTTCATTCTTTGGAAATTATGTAATTCCTTATATTAGCTTTCCAGAGCAACTATAACAAAGTACCACAAACTAGATGTGTTAAAAAGCAGAAATTTAGCCGGGCGGTGGTGGCACACGCCTTTAATCCCAGCACTCGGGAGGCAGAGCCAGGCGGATCTCTGTGAGTTCGAGGCCAGCCTGGGCTACCAAGTGAGTTCCAGGAAAGGCGCAAAGCTACACAGAGAAACCCTGTCTCGAAAAACCAAAAAAAAAAAAAAAAAAAAAAAAAAAAGCAGAAATTTAACCGGATGTGGTAGCCCATGCCTTTTACAGCATCCCGGATGTTCAGAAGTTCTAACCCACGGTGTAAGCAGAGCCCTCGTCTCCCCAGAGACCCGGATGAACAGTCCTTGCCTCCTCTAGCTTCCAGCTAACCACATTTTCCTTGGCTGGTGGCAGTGTCACTCCAGTCTCTGCCTTACCTTTGTGTCCATGGCCCCTGTTTGTCAGGATGTGTCTGCTTTCAACCTCCTTGTCTAATCAGAACACCAGTTCTATTACGTTAGCACTCCAACGTGGGACCACACAACGACAAGCTATATCTGCAACCGATCCTTCTCCGCATGAATCCACGCTAGGGGAGCTGGACTCAGGACCTCAAATCTGTGTGAAAGGGACTTCAGTTAATTCATGAGAACTGTATGTCTCATCCACACAACTGCGGCTTCCCTTTTAAGCTTGCTTTATGGAACCTTTTGTCATAAACATTTTATTTTAATTCATTCATGTTTATTAATATGCTTTCATCACTAGGGTTTTTCTGTTGCATTTAGAAAGATTTTGTGATCTAGGTATCATAGGAACACTGGCCAACAGACATTAAAATAGAAATAAAGAGCCACAAATAGTCCAAAAATCAAACAAACAAAAAACACCACCACCACCACCAACAAAAACAAACAAACAAACAAAAACATAAATTGG